AATACAGGTTTAAAGAGCTTGCACGTTAATCTGTGATGCCCGCATAATTATAAGTTTAAAGCAGTAATGTGACAGGTATTATGAGGTAAAGGTAAGATCCTTCTGTTATAGTAACATGTATTACATAAGTCAATATTAAGTATGTGTTCTGGTATGTTCAAGATATCCAATGGGATATATTGACTTTCTTTTCAAATAGTTTTTATTGAATTTTTTTTCAAAGTTTACAACAAAATATAGTAACAGTATAATGAGGGTAGGGGAAGGAAGGTAAAAACTTGGAAGTGGGAAAGGGGGATATCCATCCATTATAACAATAAGTACATTAATGTACAAGGCATATAAATTGTATAACACTTCATAGCAAGTCATTACAAATTATGAGTTTTTTTAACATCGGTTTCCCATTGATCCCAATGATATTTTAATTGTGCAAATATGTGAGTTGCTTCTGTGAGATAATTTGTATGATTTATTTTCTAGTGACAGCATTAGTACTTCTTTAATTGAGGGTGTGTGTTTAGTTTTCCAGTATCTAGGCAAGCATGTGGTAGCAGCTATCAGAATGTGGCCTAATATTATTCTATTAATTCTGTTGACGGATTCAGGGAATTTTTTGAATAAAGCTAATTCGGAAGTGAAGCTATCTATGTTACTGTCCACCTTAATGATCAAGTCGTGTATCATTTTCCAATATTTAGTAAGTCTTGGGCAATACCACCATATGTGGGCCATATTGCCCAATCCTCCGCAGTCTCTCCAACATCGATCACTGTACGTATTGTTCATGTTGTGCAACCTGGATGGAGCTAGATACCATCAATACAGTATTTTAAAATTATTTTCATGATGGTTAGAACAACGCTGAGAAAAAACTAAACCACTCCTCCAACTCATATTAAGTACCCAGCTATGTCTCCCAAGACAGCATGTGCTTCAGTTTAACTGTTGGTTTGTCATTGTGTAGAAGATAACATATAGAAATAGTGCCCTTCCTATTCAGGTCATGCAAACATAGTTTTTATAATGGCGATATTTCTAAAGATTTATAACTTTTATCAGTGTCTGGTATGTTGTATAATTCTTTCAGCTTCTCAATCACCAGCACAAATTCGTCCTTACATTCATTCGGCAGTCTATGTTTAAATTGTAACCTTTCATACGACAAAATAGAGTTTCCATGGAAAACGTTATCTATATTATACAGTTGATGTCCCTTTAGTAATTCTAAGTCCAAAGATGGCATGTAATATCGCAAAGATTCAATCGGCATGGCTCTATACAATTTTACTGAGTGGCAGTTGTTCTTAAATACTATATCCCAGGCTTTAAGTGTGGTTTTAGTTGTCAGGAACAATTTAGTGACTTTAGGCCTTCTTACAGGGCTCAACCAGGGTAGTTCCCTGAGTTGGGATGGGAGAATGCTGGATTCCTCTATTGCCATCCATCTTGGCCTATTTATTTGGCTGTTAAAACTTACAGCCACTGCAGGGTTAGTGGCAAAATAATACTTTTGAAAATGTGGGACTCCAATACCCCCATGAAGTTTATGGTGCTGCAGGGATGTAAGCTTAATTCTACTAAGTTTGTTATTCCAAATACATTTTAGCATTATAGAGTGTACTTTATTGAAGAAGGACAGTGGAATGGATAACGGGATAGTTCTGAAATAGTATAAGATTTTTGGAAGGATTGACATCTTTATGGAGGCGATTCTCCCTAGCCACAATATCTCCATCCCACCCCATCTTTCCATCTCTTTTTGTAGGTCTGGCCATGCTCTCTTTCAATTGTAGATATGCATGTTAGGTAAATTTTGCATAAATTAATTCCTAAATACTCTAAGTATTCCCTCCTCCAGTCAAATGGATATGATGATCTTAATTCGTCCATTTTGAGTTTGTTCAAGTGGAAGGGGAGGACCTGGGTCTTAGATACATTTAGCTTATAATATAATATTTCCCCAAACTGAAGCAGGATATTATTAAGAAATTTCAGGGAGTCTTTTGGGTTTTTGAGCGCTAGAATGATGTCGTCTGCAAATAATCCTATTTTGTGGGTGGATCCCTTGATGTTGATACCTACAATTTCTGAGGTCATCCTAATTAGTCCGGCCAGAGGTTCCATCGCCAAAACAAAGAGAAACGGAGACAAAGGGCAGCTCTGACGCGTCCCATTAGATAAAGAAAAGGTCCTTGAGTGGAAACCCGAGGCCGATACATGGGCTGTGGGTTCGCTATATAGTGCCTTAATCGCAGTAATAAAAGATGGTGGTATATTGAATCTGCTCATTGTATTCCAAAGGTACCCCCAGTGTATCCTGTCAAACGCCTTCTCTGCGTCCAATGAAAGGAGCAGAGAAGGAGTTTTTGTCGAGTTGATATGTTGAATTAAATTAATGAACCTCCTTGTTCTATCAGGTGCCTATCTGCCTTGAACAAACCCCACTTGATCATTGTTGATCAACAAAGGTATCAGTTTAGCTAATCTATTTGCTAGTATTTTAGAGTAGATTTTCGAATATTTGTTAATGAGGGATATGGGCCTTAAGTTAGAGCATCTGTCAGGAGTTTTTCCCCGTTTTTGGCAAGGTCACCATCTGTGCGCACAAAGACTTCCCCAGCATCTTCCCCCCAGACTTATAGGAGTTAAATAATTTAGACATATGGGTAATTAAAGTTTCTGAAAAGGTCTTGTAGTATAAAATGGTGAATCCATCCGGACCAGGGGCCTTCCCAGATGGCATAAGTTGAATCGCCTCAGCTATCACTGTGTCAGATATATCACACTCTAATTTTTTTTTAAATTGTCAGCAGATAGCCGAGGCAGCAAACCCTATCTAAAAAATTATTAATCGTTGCATCAGACGGCTGGGTAAGGTTCGAATCAGATTCAAAATTATAAAGTTCACTATAATACTTTGCAAATTGATCGCTAATTTTAGTTGGATGAAATATTTTTTGTCCCTGGTCATCCATTAAATATGCTATCTTTGATTGGGCTTTCACATGCCAGAGTTTGGATGCCAGAAGAGTTGAGGCCTTATTGCCTTTTAAATAAAACATTTTCTTAAGGCGTCTCACCATGAGAATAGTGCGGTCCAAATTAATTTTATGTATTTTGAATTTAACCTCTGCTATCATCGCTGACAGGGAGGAAGATGGGCCAAATTTATTTGCTTGATTCAAGTTAAATAATTATTTTTCCATATTCCTTAAATTATTATTGTTTTTCCTCTTCAGGTGAGACGCTCTAGAAATGAAGTGGCCTCGCAACACAGCCTTGTGCACATTCCAAGTCACCTCGCCAGAAACCTCACGAGAAGCATTTTCCAAAAAATAGTTGTTCAATACTTCCTCCGCTATCGATCTATTTTCACTGTCATCTAACAAGTAGTCACTCAGTTTCCATTGTCTGTTGGGTGAGGAAGAAATTGTTTCATCTATATGCAAAATTATGGGAGCATGGTCGAACCAATTGATATCTAAAATATCAGACCTCAAGATGTGTGGGATGAGAACACCCTGTATCAGAAACCTGTCCAGCCTGTAGTACATATTTTTGGACACCGAATAAAAAGTAAAGTCTCTCTCATTCTCATTCATTAGCCTCCGAGGGGCATACAATTTGCATTTAATCATATATTTCGAACATTTCTCAGCTAGTCTATCGCTATCTCTCCTGTGAGGTTGGTTTAAATTTTTTTTCCCTTGCATTGTCCAAGTCACCATACATAACAAAGTTCATGTCACCACACATCACCAAGATCCCTTTCATATTCTCATTCACCAGTTCCATTATCTTCCTAAAAAAAAGTCAGTTGACCCGTGTTGGGAAAGTACACATTAACAATTGTATACGAAACGTAATTAACTTTACCAATCCACCATATGTATCTCCCGTCATCATCCGTCATTACTTTTTCTGTAGAGTTGGCCACATTCCTGCTAAAAATAAATAGAAGCACCCCTAGACTTAGATTTGTAAGTGCTATGGAATGGGAATAACTGTGTCATAAATTTATAGTCTTTACCTTCCTTAAAATGAGTCTCCTGAACACATACAATATCCGATTTGTTGGTTTTGACTTCTTTGAAAATCAATCATCTCGTGAGCAGTGTTCAGGCCTCTCACATTAAATGACATAAATCTAATAACCATGGCTCAAATCAGAGATCATGTTTATTAAGAGAAAATGAACAACAATATGAGAACTTGAAGGTCCGCGCCCCAAGAGAAGTGTCAAAAAATCCAACAATCTTAATAAAAAAGACATTTGTTTAGACCAAAATAAACTTGCTAAAACATTGGAAACATACCATTGTAACGTAACATATTGCTTACATTGCATAGTAAAATGGATGGAATGACAAAAAAACTTAAAAAATGGGGAAATAAAAACTTGGATAAATTCCCCTATTCGGGAAAAGATAAAAACCTTATTTAGAAAAAGGGCCACGAGGGAGAATAAAAAAAATGTCTCCATCTCAGGGTATTAGGCCCAGGTTGGGGGGAGAGAAGACTACCTGGAGCAAGGGAACCAATGCAAGCAATAACAATAAAAAACAAAGAAAAATAAGAAGAAAAATTAGAGATACAAAAAAATAATAAAAATAAAAATAAAAAAGGGCCCTTCCAGCCCTGAAGTCGTAGTTGAACACAAGTAAAATCCTGGGAGAAACCATAACCATAGCAATAACTAACCATCATACAAGTTTGCTATATTAAAATAGTAGCAGAAACAAAGTTTTTAGTACTCCCTACATGTCTCAGGACTGGAGCAGGAATCAATAATATGTCCCTCAGATAGTGGACTTTAAATCCATACATTGAAGTTCAGTTCAAAGTAAAAAGAAAAGAAGGAATAAAGAAACATCAAAGGCCAAATCAGTGTTGGCAGAAATCTGGACTAGAAAAAACAATAGTTTGTTAGTGGTAATCCAAAATCGACAATGCCAAAGCAGGAATCATGAAAGAACGGAATAGAAGCAGCTTGGGTCTCAAGTATCATCCGCTTTACTCTTCTTATGAGCGTGCGCTGGAGTTGAAGGTGAGAGCGCATGTGTCTTTGCTTGGTGTCTGTTTCTGGAGGCAAGAAATTTCATACCTTCCTCTTGTGATGTAACACTGAAATTCCTGCCATCCATATGAAAGAGCACTTTCACAGGGAATCCCCACCTGTAGCGTATTCCTCTCTGCTGTAGTTCAGCTGTAAAAGGCTGGAATTTCCTGCGGCGCCTCATTGTATAGGCCGAGAAGTCTTGGAATATTTGTAGATTTTTGTATTCCCCAGGTAGACCAGATGTGCGAGTTGAACGTAGAAGTTCTTCTTTTATATGGAAGAAGTGGAGTCTAGCAATAGTATCCTTGGGTGCCGCTGCATCTGCATTGTTGGGCTTAGGTAGCCTATGAATTCGTCCCACAGGTAAATCCAAATTGGTGGTTCTTGGTAGAACTGCCTTGACCATGGATTGAAAGTAGTTCAGCAATTCTGGAGTATCAACATTGTCAGGGATCCCCCTGAACCTCAAATTGTTGCATCTACTTCTATCCTTAGCATCCGCCATTTTTTCGGCTTGTTGGGTGACTTGTTTCTGGAGTTCTTTCACCGTGTTAACCAATTCAAGGTGGGAATTTTCTTGGACATGCAATCTATGATCTATAGATTTGGCCAATGTTTTCCAAAACTCCATACATTGTATCAAAGTCCTTTTTAAAATCATTTTTTAAATCTACTCTTAAATTCTGTATGAGCTGTATTATCACACCTGCTGATGGGGGTAAGTCTTCTGCCATTTCAAGTGGCATTGTTGGATTATAAATCATCGCTTTAAAACCTGTAGAGGCCATCTTGGATGTTGCATCTGCCATCTTGGATGTGGAGGTGGCCATCTTGGATGTGTCAGTGATATCATATGCTAGAGTGGTGGCCATCTTCGTTGTGGCAATATCTGATTCATTGGTGTCATCCATCTTGGTAGTGGCAATTTTTCTAATCCTTTGTTGTAATGGGGTTAGTGATGTAATATTAAATGCTTCTTCCATATCACATACATCTGGGCTCTCCGTGGCCCTTTCAACATCAGAGGTGTGAGAGGAACGAGCAACAGAGTCCCTCCCCTCCATTTTCGACCGCTGTGAGGCCGAGGACCATGATGGGGAGCGGGACATCCCGCCGCCCACCCCCTCATCCTCAGCCCGGTCTCCTTTATATATTAGGGACCAGGCTGCTTTACAAGTGAGCCGCGAGCGGCTAAGTGCCCCCCTCGCGGGAGCTGATTCCACTCGCTCCGAGCTTGTTGTGCGCTCGGAGCGATTGATGATTCCTCCAGGGTTCGCGGCAATCGCATATGAGCGAGTATGCGAGGAGGTGTGGGAGGGAGGGAAAGGTTTCCCCGCTGCCGCCAATTAAGTTTTTTGTGGCTAAATAGGCTACGATGCCGTGGATTGAGAAGGGGAGGGGGCTTGCAGGCCTTTACTCACCCCCACTGCAGGCTTGTCGATTTTCTTGAATGCAGGAACACTTTTCTCTGTAATCTTTTGTTTCTGCATGATGAGCAGAGCTTCTTGTACAGAATTATGTACTACAAATTATTGTATGTAGCTTAGAAATTATAATTTTGGAACAAAATGGTCCCAGTGCCCCAGGAGCCTCTCTAAATGGTGGCCATTTAAGATGGTGGCCAAAGTCCGCCCCTCGGATATATTGACTTTCTGTCCTGCTATCTGTTCTTTTCAGCAGTGTTACAGCTATAATTGAATTCGCAAAGAGACAAGTTGCCACACCACGATTATCAGTTTCATTGTTATATTATCATGATTGTGATGCTAACATGTCATCATTAAATTAAGCTGCTACTCCTCATACTGCACAATCAGACTCCTGCCACCATGACCACTTTAAATCAATGAAGTGTTCATGGTGGTTCTAGTAATGTAGAGCCAGATTAAGGTTGACCAGGGCCCAAGGCAGGGTGCCAGATTGGGGCCCTGGGCTCTTTTGCAGAGTGTGTGTGTGTGTGTGTGTGTGTGTGGGAATGGGGGAACATGGAGAGAGAGGGAGAGAGAGAGAGAGAGAGAGAGAGAATGGGGGAAAGGAGGAAGAGAAAAGGAGAGGAAAATGAAGGGAGGGGGCAGCATGGAGGGAGAGGGGGCAGAGGCCTACCTTCTTGTATTATGTCATCAATTATTGTACTGTTGCTGCTATGAGAGGTGGTGGCAGTAGCAGGGGTAGTAGTGGTGGTGGCACGCATAGCACTAGCATTTTTCTCCTCCTCTTGTAACCACAGCTGGTTCCCTTATTTACCACTATAACGTCTTAAAGCATAGAACTTAGCAGGGCTAACCATACAGATATCTTTACCCATAATATTATATAGTTAGCAAGAGATCCTCTATTTAAAAATTATAAATAATTGAGAATACAATATAAAGTAAGGATTGTCTTGGAAGCAATAAAGTTTTGTCTTTTAGATATTTAATTAAATAAAAATATAAATATAGACATATAACATCCATTACAATAATTTATAGCAGAGTTTATAAGATTAAACTATATGCTTGCAAATATCATTTTAAATAGAATAACATACCCTCTTGAACATGTCAACATCTCTCAGTCATTATATGGAGCGACAGTGTCTCTGTCTCCAAATCTCTCCTCTGTCCCTTAACATTTATACCTTAGATGTCTTCATTTTAGGGTTACTGTAGTTCATATATGAAAAAGTAACACTTCTTTTACTTTATTTAATTTAATACCTACCTTAACTTGGAAATTCTCTGTCTAAGGACAAGATGGCATCTTAAAGTCTGAACATCTTATCTATTGTTGATCTGTCATGACCAAGACATCTTATTTATTGTTTATACTAAATTTCTGGAGTCAGGAGGATGTAGCATAGCCTTGAATATATGATTCCATTACTTGTTTTGTATTAAGCTAAGACAAATTGGCATAAATATATTATGCACTGAAAGTAGTTAAGAGGTCATTGCTTAAAGGGATACTATAGTCACCAGAACAACTTCAGCTTAATTAGGTTGTTCAGGTAAGAACTATAGCTCCCTGCAGCCTTTCTCATGTAAACACTGTATTTTCTGAGAAAATACAGTGTTTACATTGAAAGCTAGGAACACCTCCAGTTGCAGTCACTCAGCGTGAACCAGAGGGACTTCTGAGTTGATGGAGGCATAATATGCCTCCATCCACTCAGATCTACTGTGCACGAGCAATCCTGTGATTCAGTATCTCCTCCCTCTGCATGCAGACACTGAACTTTCCTCATAGAGATTAATTGATTCAATTCATCTCTATGAGGAGATGCTGATTAGCCAGGGCTGTGTTTGAATCATGCTGGCTCTGCCCCTGATCTGCCTCCTTGTCAGTCTCAGCCAATCCTATGGGGAAGCACTGTGATTGGATCAGGCTATAACATGTCAGCAGACTGCTTGTTTTTCCTGAGTCTAACAGCATGCAGATTTACAGCTTCTGTCTTGAATACAGTAAGATTTTTACTATATTTATGGAGGCATGAGGGGCCCAGGGGGGCTAGATGGTCGTGTTAACACTATAGGGTCAGGAATACATGTAGTTGCACTGGTCACTATAGTGTCCCTTTAAAGAAACATATATGAAAAAAAAATGTTCCATTTCTAACACCTTGTCAGTTTGCAATATCTCTTATAGACAAAGTACACAGTTTAAGAAATACAACATTTAATTCTAAAACTTGTAATATTTGCATTTGCGCGTAAAACTCTAACTCTAATATCTCCCTCTTAGGCTGCCTAAATGCATGAGCAGCGGTAACAGGCTGTGTTGAAACTGCCCAGCTGTTGTAAAACATAGCAGCGGAGCTGGCAAGAGTGGAGGTAGAGGTACTATTGTCAACACTAGCAATGCTGGTGGTTGTGAGGGGAGTAAACAGCCATCTGCGAGATTTGGATGGTGGCTGCTTTGTGGACCCAGGGGACCTCTCAACCATGCTACTGGAAGGCAACTGCTGCTGCTTTGTGGTGCCAAATAGCTGGACATTGGGACCTGCAGTTTCCCTCTCTGCCCTTTTCAGTTTCATGGGTTGGCTAACTGGGCTTGAACTCTTTCTAGTGCTACTGCTGGCTTTGGTTGCAGGAATTGGAAGCACTAGCAGCTCCTGCTGTTTCATTTGCCTCCGCTTCAGGTGAGCTGAAGAAGAAGCAAGTGTACCACTACCTGTGCTCTGCCTCTAAACAATAGTACTGGTGGAGGAGCTAGTAGTGGTACTACCAGCAGCAACGTGACAGCTACCAGTTTCCTCAGTTACTTTCTTGAGGGGAGAATGTTAGGACTCGGAGGACGTGGACGATCCATTATGGTTTATTTTGTGTTATGAAATTGTTATTTAAATTAAATCACAGAAACATAAAAAAACACAAAATTAATCACTGTTGCATAGTCACAGTGCAGCAGAGAGACACCCTGGCAATCAATCAGGCTACATGGCAACAGCTAAAAAAATACGAAATGAATCACTGCAGTAAAGTTACAGTGCAGCAGACATACACCCTGGCAATCAAGCTGGCTTGCACAGCCACACACTCTATCACCCCCCTTTTAAAAAAAAGAAAAACAGAATGCAGATTGCAGAAGAAAAAAAAGGCACATCTCACTCTCTCTACTCCTTATCTCTCTCCCTGGAATACACACTTAAAAGCAATGTGGCTCCCCAATGTGGCTCAATCACAAAAATGTGCTCATTTCATTGGTCAGGGAATAGAGAAACCGGATTGGGCAAGCAAGCATTACATTGCACAAAAGGAATTAGCTTATTGGTCAAGATTCCTGTTATAATTCTTGTAATTTTCCTCCCTCTATCTAGTTTTGCCACTTTTCTGGAATTCTGAAGCACTTCAGCACTTCCGAACTACTGAACTCCAGCAGTTCGGCACTTCGGAACTTCAGCACTACGGAACTTTGGCACTACAGAACTTCGGCACTTCGGTTCAGCACTTCTGAACTCCTGAACATCGGCACTTCGGAACTTCGTCACTTCAGTACTTCGGACATTTGTAAGCATCCGAATGTCCAAATTGCCGAAATTCGTCCAAATTTACTTTCAGAACTAAACAAATTGCACATGTCTATCAAACATGAAAAAAGCAATGTTTCAACACAAATATATGTCTTTCTACATCGTACAAAGTGTTGCATAGGATAAAACAAACCAATCAAATCACATGTTCACATCACATATGAATTGCAATTAGTGAATACCAGTTTAAGTGATGAAAAAAAGGTAATCCAATCAGGATTAACATATAGAATACAATGTATGAAAGGATGTAATAATTTATTGTGCAATACAAATATGTTACATCTCTTTTTGCAATTGAATTTCCATATATTACAATATGTTACAATTTATTTGTGCATGTTATGTAACACAAAAGAAATGTATACCCAATTACCATAGGTAAATACCTACAAATTGCTGGGTAGAGACCCAAAGGCTGAAATATCAATGGATATCAAAAATTGTGGATCATGCTTTTTTTTTTTTTTCCATATATAGTCTTTATTTTGCCAACAGCATGAACAGGCATACATTACTTACAATTTTGTATACATTAGGTTTTCATGACATGCAGTTCGGACCTTGCGGTCTTACATTTGTTCCGTTTTGTACATCATGTAACTCTTATTATACACACATTTCAAGCAGGTATAGAATAGTTAACTGCTCCTGGGCTGGTTCGACCTCATACCGAGGTTCTAGTTGTGTGCAGTCGGTGGTGCATTGGCAATATTTGGGGGAAACAGGGACACAAAAGGGGGGGTGGGGAGGGATAACTTGGAGAGGAGACTTAGAGTCCCCAGCCTTGCTACCCAGTGCTCATACCTACTATTTAGCAGTCTCCAACCATTTCTAGCCTGTTGTCCGGTATTCTATTAATATTTGGGTGGTCCAGTTTGCGGGTTGTGTGGCCTAATGCACGGGGTATTGTGCTAGGTACTGGGTTTAAGGTTTAGTGTTCCAGCTTGCCCACTCTCTGTCATATCTAGACCCCTGGCCTTGGACTCTGCTGGCCATACGTTCATAGGAGCTTATGATGTCCAGTCTCTCTGTAAGTGCCACTATAGTGGGCACCGCTTTGCTCTTCCAGTTTTGGGCTAGGAGAATTTTTGCCAC